ATTTTTGCCAAATCAAATCGATATTTTTCATGATCTCTGACCAACTCCCGTGACGGAGGCACGGGTTATACGCTAGTTCAATAACAAAATACAGTACGAAACTTCTGGACTGATATCAATTCAAAAAAGACCTGATCTACAATTTTATTTTTTGAGTTTACTATATAGGCATATTTCAGTACGTATTGGTTTTGTAATCTTCAATTACAGTATTACGAATCGAAATATCCTATAGTCTAACTTTTATTAATTAAATTCGGAAAACAAAAATTTTTTATCGTTTATAACGATGAGGACACTGACAAAATGTCAGTTCATTATACCTTTTTATCTCTGCTAAAGTTTTAATTAAATTTTAGTAATCATCGTAAATGCACTTCTTATTAGGCGTATTACGTACGTATGTACGTGATTTTAGTAGTGGTGTTACAAAACTTAAAGTTGAGAATTTTTGATTGACGATACATTTAGTTCACATGTCCATCAAGATAAGAAGGTATTTATCATCACACAAGTGTACATCTATCGTTATTAATTTTTGTGTACTCCTATTGGTCGCACTTTAATTATAAATTTGTCTCGTTTTTGGGCTCTAAAAACTAAAAAATGTCGGCTTTTCTCGGTATCCCACCTGCAGTGCTTACAGATTCTTATAAGCCTACCCACGCGTTTCTGTACCCTGAAGCTATCAAGGTTCCTTTAATAATATTTTTTAAAGGTGGCATTTTGTAACTAATAACGACTGTGTGTAACGTGACTTATTAAATGTTTGTCAAAGAGTGTGGCATATGGTGAATTTAGGAGCGGGTATAATGGTGACAAAGAGGACACTCGCTTATTATTTTATGGGATCCGATATATGTGAGTTTTACTAATAAAAATGTTTTGTATAAATTTATCATTAACTTGTATTTATCGTGTTCTATTATCTGCCACAATACATTAATTATCGCGAACTAGAATTGAAAATTATATTTCTGTGAAATGGACTTTGCAAGATGTTGAATTGGCAGGAAAATTTTATGCAACTCATAATGTTGGTTACTCTAGCTTTCCTTTTCCAAAAGATTTGTTTCTCAAGGTACCTCTCAAAAAAAAAATCATATAATTCTATCATTTTATATAAGTTTTTGTATTTTTTTGTACGCGAATTGACAACTTGGTCATCTTAATTATATAACTAGTTTATTAAAGAAAATGATGGGTACTTTCCGGTAAAAATTGAAGCATTGCCGGAAGGTACTGCTTGCCATGTGCATACCCCTGTTTACCAGATTACAGCAGAAAAAGAATATTCATTGCTGGTTACATTCTTGGAAACCTTGATCACAATGTCTTGGGTAAACTTTCATTGATTAATTAACTTATTAATTTTATTGAACTTTTGTAATGTTAATTTATACTTCCTTTTTTTGTTTGTAAAACGCGATAAAGTATCCTACGACTGTGGCAACACTTTCACGTCGTGCACGTGATGTAATCGAGCAAGCATATAATGATACCGTTGATGACGATGTTAGAGATCTGACTTTGGAAAGGTAAATATTACTCAAAGATTTACTCATTATCGTGCATAAATACTATTTATTTAACTAAAAATATTTTTAAGTCGATTACATGATTTTGGTTTTCGGGGATGTACCTCAATAGAACAATCTGTAATTGGAGGTTCCGCTCATCTGGTTGGTTATGATTTATAATTATGTATGATAAAATTACAAATATTTATGCTATGTATAAATGTGTTCTATGTAAAGATTAATTTCGTTGGATCTGATACAATGAGCGCTGGTTACTATATTCAATTTAAACTCAATAATGGAAACCCTGTCGCCTCTTCCATTCCAGCGACTGAACATTCCGTTATGACTGCGCATAAAACTGAAAGAGTATGTAAATGTGAAAATATTTTAAATATCATCCATGACCACAATTAATTTATTTTACTGTTATTGTTTATTATATATAGGACGCTATTTTGCGCATGATCGATCGGTTCGGTACTGGTATATTCGCTTGTGTAATGGACTCTTTTGATTATGCTAACGCGTTAAATAAAATTTTGCCATCAATTGCGGCTAAAAAGGTTGAAAAGGGTGGTTTCATGGTTCTTAGACCTGATAGTGGTGATCAAGTAGAAGTGGTTTTGATGGCACTCAGGTATATTAAATCGTTATATGCTATTTATGCATTAAATGGCAATGTTGATTGTTAAAGTTCCTTATATATGATTTTTAGAGCTGCTGATAAAGTGTTTGGAAGTGATGCAAATAAAAAAGGTTATAAAGTCATTCGAGGTTGCAGTGTCATTCAGGGTGACGCTGTTACCATCGAATCCATGAAAAAAATTTTGCATGCAGCTAAAGAAGCTGGATATGCGGCACAAAATATCGCATTTGGCATGGGTGGTGGACTGCTACAGAAAGTTAATCGGGATACAATGAGCTTTGCTACAAAATTGTGTCACATAACTTACGCTGACGGGTCTCGAAGGTTTGTTTTAAATGCTAATTATTTTAAGTTTTACCTTTTACATTCTGGTAAACATATATAATGTGTATATATAGGGACATAATGAAAAGTCCAAAAACAGAAACCGGAAAAATTAGTTTGCCCGGTGAATTCGTCGTCAAGAAAAATGAACATGGAGTAAAGCATAAATTTCTTTATTTTTTTTTTGAAATTTGTTTTTTGTTTTTTAATTCCTAAAATTTCAAACCCTTTTCACATTGCAGGTACCAATTGTTTATCCTAAAGAGGTTTGTCCTGAAAACGATCCTGAAAATCTCCTACGTGTGGTTTATGATCACGGTAAAATAATTGAATGGGATGATTTTAATACTATTCGAGAACGTGCGGCTAAAGAATGGTCATGTTTACCGCGTTCCTATGATAACATTAGTCCGGAACTTAAAGCGAAAATTTCAAAATGCCTTCAGGAGATTAAAAGTAGATTGGAAATGGAAATGGCAATGTAAATTTGGAGATGAACAGATTGTTGATATCTGCGCCATATTTGTATTTGTATTTGTATTTGTATTTATATTTTGTATGAGTTCTTATTGAATAAATTATTCTTGAAATGGATGCAGAAATGTAATAAAGTTCATACCTTTAAATCAAACATCTAAATGTATCAGAAATCTTCTATTAGTCAATATGATGTAATTATATAATAATATAATCAGTTTATACTTTTACCATAGTGTGCTTTCTATTTATAAATTCACACTATAAATACATTCTTCATGCATGTTTTACATATATAAAGAATTAATAAAATAAGCCATTAAACTTCTTGATAATAAGCATGCAAAATGTAAATTCTGCCAAGCATGTTAGTCTATTTAATCTATAAACTATACTTGCACCAAAAATGTAAGTCAAAATAAACCTCACCGTACCGTACTGGTTTTAGTACCTCCTTATCTAATATCTTTTCAAAGGTCCGAGTTAATTAAATTCAGAATGTAATCGAAGTTTAATTATAAAATTTCTGGATTATAGTGTTAGACCCCCGAAGTATAATACCCCATGTCACAATATCCCTCAGCTTGTGTACCCACTCTTGGTCAAGTACCCATGGGTATATTGCTATGTGTAATCTGTTTTTTTTTGATAAGACTCGGATACTAAAGGCAGTTCCGTACGGTATTTTAAATACGTATATAGTTAATATTCAGGATTGTTTTTTGAATAAGTCTAAATTTTGAATTAATTTCTTTTTAAATATCTATAATTTAAATAAATTCAATAATAATTTAAATTTTATTAACAAAAAAAATTTTTGCCAAGTCTTATTTGAATAATATTTAAAAATAACCAAATCTCAAATTTTAAATATTTGCTCTTTAAAGAAATCTCTAGATTTCTGGCATGAATCTTTTTTACATTTTGGGCATCTTAACAAATATTGATTTGAAAAGAAATTACCAGACTTAACCTTTTCTAGATGATCTTTTACAATATTTGCCATTGAATTTATAAAAATTGGATCATCATTTAAAGATTCTGCGCGTTTTAGGCCAGTTATTCCTGCCTATTGTTAAAAAATAAATAATTGGTAAATAAAAACTATATATGTACATGATCGTATTCGAAGTTGCTACTTCAGTAACATCTGTCTAAAATTACTACTTAATGCAATGCAAAAAAAAACCATTTTAGGTGCATAATTTTAGTCAGATGTAACTTCAACTCCAGACAGATAGAAATTTCAGACATGATATGTATATATGTTGTATCTAAGTAACGTCTATCCGGAATTGCTACTTTGGATGTATAATGTTGCATCTAACTGAAACTAAGCCCTGGAATTATATTTTCATGAATACATTAAATAGTTATGTGATTCAGGACTTTTTTAGATATCTGAAGTAGCAACTCCCACTAAGTGGTTACTTCAGATACAAAATTTATATGTTATATTGTTGTCAATGAATTAGTTTGAACTGTATTGATTCAATCTTCAATTCACTTCATTAAATTATGTCTTCTCTAGATTCTACTCCAGATTGCCCAAATTTATAATCATATTTTAAACCCATTCCAACTTTGATTGGATCAACCTGGAGTAACTCCAGAGTATGATACTCCATTAACAACCCTATTTTTTTTATGCTCAAGCATTCATTACCTTTTCAGCTTCATGAGCATATTCCAAATCCAATTCAAATAAAGTTTCAATATGATCACTTGTAAAAGCAATTGGAACCAATAAAATATTTTTTTCTCCTTTTTCACCAAGTCCAATTATAGCATCTTGAGTTTGTGGACCTTGCCATGGTTGCGGTCCAACTTGAGACTGCCATACTAATCTATAAGGATTTGAAAACTTTAATCTTTCCATGACTGCATGTACTGTTGCAGCTACTTCTGATGTATAAGGATCTCCCCTATTTACTACTACCATAGGGAGTGAATGAGCAGAAAATAAGAGAACTACTTTGTCCCGAATTTCTTTAGGATAAGTAAGAAGTGATTTTTCGATGTGCTTAGCGAATACCTAAGTTAATAAATTTGCGATTATCATCTAATAATAGTTGAACATTTAAAACGATAGATGAGTAAATATAACATTAGTGTCTTTAATCAAACTTATGGTGCCTACTTCGATCAATCCAGGATGAGTTGGCCATCTATCAATAATACTCCAAGTAATTGACCTTTCAGGGTCTACAATGTCAGACTTCCTCCAAAGTTCATTTAGACTACTACCAGTAGTTGAACAAGAGTATTGTGGGTATTGAGTGAAAGCAATTGCACGTTTAACACCATCTTTTTTCATTTGAGTTATCGTATCTTCAGTTAATGGTGGTGCGTAACGAAATGCAATATATGTTTTATGTGGAGCTGTTTATCGTTAAATAAAAATTTTAGTAATCTCAATAAATTAATGAAAATTTATTAGTTTACACATAGTGTTTATGCACGGATGTTAATTTATTGATTTACAAATTCGTGTAATATATAAATTTTAAGACAAAAATTAATCCAGTTTAAGGTTAGGGTAAGGTTAGCTTAGGATTATAAATAGTTAGGGTTTATATTAAATTTTGCAAAGTATTTTTATCCACATACCCGTGTACATACACATAACGTACAAATAGAAATTGCCAAAATTAATTTTCTAAATTTTAAAATTGAACGTACCGCTCAGAGGACTTATTTCATCCAACAACTTTTCCAACGCGCTACCTTGTTTCTGGGTCCAAAATAATATAGGCGATCCACCGCCAATTTTCGCATATTGTTCTTGAATTTTAGGAGTTCTTCTTTTTGCGATAATCGGGGCCACAGATTTTTGGAATGGGATTGGGATAAGGTCAGGATCTGAAAATAGTCTTGTTAAAAAATCTTCAACACCATCTAACGTTGAAGGTCCGCCTAGGTTCATCAACACTATTGCTGTGGGACTATAGTTGTTAGGCGAAACTTTTTCTGCATAGTGACGAAAGACAAGACCCTGACGAAATCTTAAATCCCTCTGATGAAAGACAGAACTTAAGATCGGAAATGATGAAGGACGAAACCTGGCAAAACCTTCATGAAAGTTAAAACCAGACGATATTCAGAAAATCGAAACGAAAGATTGAGTTATAATTAGTAAATCATTTCCATAATATCAAAATGAGTCCTTACCTTTCATAGATTTCCTCAATATCTATTGCTATAGTTTTATCACCTTAATTCGATATCGATATTGTTTTAGATGCTTGATTATCTCGAAAAGTCTCCAAAAAAGTATCGAATCAAAAAACAGTTTTTAGCCAATCATATTTCAAGATCAGGTGTAACATAAAAAATCTCCACTTATGCATTATCCTGATCTTGAAATATGATTGGCTAAAATAGCGATGAATTTTTAAAACAATTGCTCAGAAATTATGAAGTTGTCTTTTTCGTCCAAACAAAAAAATTCCCTGTTCCTTGGCTGCCGTTTGTTTTTACAAAGACTCCGTTTCTATTAGAGAGTGACAATGCATCACAATGAATGATAATTTTCTAGGGATGGTGCTGAAATTTGGGATCTCGATTTGAAAATATAAGCCCTGCTAAAATCCACATATACTTTGCAATTATCAATTATAACCCTAAATTCTAACCTAACTCTAAAAAAAAGAAAAAGACGGAAAAAAACTCCCAAAAGTTTTTTAAA